ACTGTATCCCAGATGTAACAAAGTGCAGGGAAAGAAATGGACAAATCAGCGACAAGAATTTGTTTAAATCTGTACATTATCCACAAGGCCCAACAACAGAAGCAAATACTAGAATGTCCCTAAGGTAGTGCCAGTCAAAAGAAACTCTCGGAGTCAGTTAAAATCCATCTCACAATAGCAACAGTTCATTTTTTTTTTTTAACAATAGTATGGCACAGAATACATATTAAAAAATTCATCACAAGACAGCCAAGTCAGTTATTCCAACCACTACCATCTCCCATTTATTCTTTAGTATACAGAGTTCTGCAGTTCTCGCAACGGACATACAGATCAGAACCGTGCCTGAACTGAGAGTTTGGTTACAGACATTTCAGATGACTCGTGCACAAGGCAGCTCACTCCATCATTTCTGCAGCAAGGGTGTGACAGGCCAAATGAAGATTTGAAATTTGAAATGGCATTTTGACAGTTTAGCTTGCAAACTACCGACCTTCATCCAAATAGTGGCTTCAGAGCAGCCAAACTCTGCACCACTGAGGGATCTGGCAGAAAGACTGAAGCCAGTCAGATCTCCAAGAGTAGCTGAAGGTGGCAGTTTTCCACAATGACACTGCAATTTCATATTAAAAAAACAAAAACGACCCCTCCCCCCCAAGACCCTCAAGCTGCAAATTAAAATTGGTCCTATGAGAAACTCAAACCAGACACACTCCAGCTGGTTACGCTGGGCTAACTAATGGCCAAAGTGGCAGCCTTGCACAACTCAACTACAGAACAGGAGCTGGCAAAAGAAAAAAAAAAAAGTGCCTGAGCTATTGCAATGATGGAATGTCTGGGGAGTCCCTGGGATGGTGGTTTAAGGTCATGGGAGGAAGTGCATCTGTACCCTTTCATAGTTTTGCGATTGCACTTGTTAAGCAGTACAAGCTTCAGACATCATCAAGAAAAAATAAGAAACTTAAGCCTACAGTGAAGTGCAACGACAAAACTAATGTGACATTAATAGCTTTTGAGTGGCAAATTGGTTAAACAAACCAGGCACTATAAAAATGGGTGCAAGCAAACACATGGGTTTAAAAAACAGAAACAAAGAGCGGGACAGAAGTGAAGATATGCATGCACTTTTTTCCTCCCAACCATGCTCTGTGAAAGGAAGACTAGTGAGCTGTGACTCGCTCAAAGTGCTGAAGAGGCATTGATCAAATTAGATTGTACAATCGGCACCTTGTTTAGTATCTCAGTTGGTTTAGTTGTCAATATCACACTAATTGCTAAGACGAAGCAGAGCCTACACTTGGCATGTTCCCCTCCCGAGTTTCAAGGTATCACATGCATATCCTCCTCGTGGTGGTGCCAGACGGGCTCAGTTACCTACAGTGGTTACAGAGATGAACAAGGGGGAACTGGAGTTATGACAGTAGGAAATGGGTAAATAAAAAACATAAACTACCATCTACAGTCTGGTAGCACTGAGCACAAGCGGGTGGTGGTGCAGACAGCTGCTAGGTGGATGGGGAGAGGCTGCTCAGACATCAGACCGCCTCAGGTATAAAGCCAGTTCAAATGCTTTCTTGTTGAGTGTCCCTCCATGGACACCTTCCTTTCCCATGACTATAACCAATGCTGGAGTACACAAGGAAACAAAACAGAAATGAACAGAATTAAAGGGGGAAAAAAAAATAACACCTTTCCCCACCAACAAAGGGATACAAAGGAGACACAGGTTCATACCCCATCACCCTGCATTGCTAGTAAAGTTTCCAGAATGTAAGGTTTAAAGCTCACCGCCAGGAAAGTTTAATAGCAATCTTCCCCTAATACTTAACAGTCTGCCTAACAACTAGAACCCAGAGTCTCTCAAGTATTTTGCCATTGAGTATGCCTTCTTATTCAATCCGCCTCCATGGACCCCTTCTTTGCCCATTACAAAGACCAAGACTGAAAGAGAAAAGAAAAAAGTTTTAAAAAGAGTGTGTTAGACAAGGAAATAATTCAAGTTTTAGGCACTGCAATAAACACCCTCAAATTCAAGATTTAGCATTTGGGTACTAACCTAGTTTAACAGTTTTGTAAAAATGCAAATGTAGACAGAGCTGGGAGAAGGTACAAGCTATCCTCAGGGATTTTATGTAACTACGGAACTTGTAAGAGTTCAGTGCTAAAATAAATGCCCCCAGTTATCTCAAAAAAGCATCACAGTGCCTCTCACCATCAGTCATCACCCAGCAAAGAAATCCCGGGGTGGGGCAGAGGTGCAGGGTGTGCACAGTGTGACTGGAGAGCGGCAGAGGAACACTCCCCTGTTCTGGGCTGTAGTGGTCACTGCTGGTGTAGGGGCCAGAGTAACTGCTCTGATGTTGGGAAAAAACCCACAGGGTGAGCTGGGCTAAGACTTTCCATGCAGTAACAAAACTATAAATCATGCTTTCTGCATAGGACAAAATGCAGGGATGACTGTCATGCTGGGTCTCTCCCCACTCCCCCAGTGCCAGCAAGGTGTCTGGATTGTCTGGCAAAAGGAACACCCAGAGGCTCCTCACCCGTAAGTGTGACTGGGAGCTGCCAGCAGATGTCCCCAGCAGGGACAGGGACACAATGAACTCTGGGCTGCCACAGGCCAGGGACTGTTTGCCAAGCTGGGAATACTGCAGCCCACCTAGAGGTGATGGTACATTGGCCCCAAGTTGTACCAGGGGAGGGTTAGGTTGGGTATTAGGGAACCTTTCTTCACCAAAAGGGCTGTCCAGCCCTGGCACAGCTGCCCAGGGCAGTGGTGAAGTCCCCATCCCCAGAAGGATTTAACAGCCATGTGGATGTGGCACTTGAGGACATGGGTTAGTGGTGGCCTGGGAGAATGGTTGGACTGGATGATCTTGGAGGGCTTTTACAACCTTAATGACTCTACAATTCTATTTCCATAACAATTTGCTCATAAAAGCTTCAGACAGTTCTCATTGGGACTTCACAAGTCAGAACTGTTTGTTTCACTCCAGCACTGCCAACCCTCTTCCTGCATCCCTGCCCCAGGCTTTACCCTACAGACACCTTCAGCTCTGCTTTTGGATTTACACCTATAACCAAAAGTCCATCACTTACAAACCCGTTCCACAGCCAGGCTGAAACCAGCCCAGGTGTCCCTAACGTAAGGCACGCCACTCATAGCCAGTATTTTATCCCAGCTGAGTGCCTGCCCCACAATAGCTTCTACTGGAAGTTAAAATGAGCAGCACGAGGAGCAGGTGTGCAAGCATGAAGCACATTTCTCGGTGGTACCAAACTGGACGGGCTTTTTTGCCTGAAGACAGACTTCAGCAAGCTCAATGGGAAGTGCAAGAAGAGTTAGCGTAGAGCTTGTTAAAAGTCAAGTAGGAGCAGCTCATACAAGGGATTCACATTTTTGCAAAATAAACTTTCCATTGAGCAGTTTACGATGAGAAAGCTGCAGTCACTGCCCGTCATTAACAGACCCCTCCTAAGCTTCAAGTGATGGAATAGCAGGAAAACCTACTTGGAGCAGAAGCCTGCTCTTTTTTCTGTTTGTCAGGGATCTGTTTAACCATTGCACAGCCTGGTGCTGGGCTAGGACACAGGTGGGAATGGGGACAAGTGTGATTCCCAGGCAGAACTCAGCCAGAACACTGCCACCCACCCCCTCGCACCACTTCCCAATATTAATCATTAAATACAGGGGTCTGGTTTTCTTAATACCTGGAGTCAATGCTTAGGGTTACATTCTTAATTTAGCAATGAGAAAATGATACTTACCTCGTCCAGCTCTGCCTACAGCAACATTGTATGTCGGCTCACCACCTTGACTCTTTGTCCTGATGTCCATTGTGCAGTCACCATCGACATACAGGCTATCTCTGATCACAGAGCACTTCTTTGCACCAAGGGTCAGACCATTGGTGAAGAAACCCTCTCGGTCTTTTCCTACAATCATATCTATTTCTCCTGGCTGTCAAAGGAAAGAGCTCAGAGTTAGCACGGCAGCGCTTTATTGTTTAATTTCGATTTAGAAATGCTGCTGTTTCGTGTGGAGAGGCCGAGACTGTGATTTTCCCCCGCTCCCCGCAGGAAGTGCTCCAGCACACAGGGCTTTGTTAGGCACCAGCGCCGTGCGCGGGGGAGCCGCTGCCGCGGCGATGCCGGGCCCGGCCCGTTAAACGGCACAGAGCGAGTGTCGGCGCCTTGGCCCCGGGGCCGGCGTGGGCTCCGTCCGCACCTGTCCCGGGAGATCAGCCCGGGGCCCGCCCGCACCCGCGGCATCAGCCCGGCCCGGCCGCGGGGCCCGGGCAGCTCCCGCCGCCGCGGCCCCTCCACCTCCCCCTCGGGAGGGGCCCCGGGCCCGGGGCTGCGGAGGGGGGGGCGCCGGCCCCGCCGCGGCCCGGGCGCCCCAAAGCGGCGCGGGCTGGCGCCCCCCGTGCTGGTCGGCCCCGACCGGAGCGGACGGGACAGGTCCGG